TCTCCTCGGGATTTCGCCTTCTGGGCGAAATCCATGAGCGCGCAACTAGGCCTATTTCACGGCGTTTTCACGGACCGGTTTATACTTAGATAAATAAGAGCACTTTTTTCCCCCAAAAATGGAATCTCCGCTCCATCTGCAATAGTCTATAAGTGAAGTATAAATTGTCAAAAGGAAAACTAAACGTTATTGAAAGATCAAAAATATCATTTGTAGGTCTGTAGTTGCTGACGGGTTTGTGGGACTTAAAAAGATATTCTAAATTAGCGCAAAAAACCGTTCTAAATATAACCTGGTCCATGAGTGCATGGAAGTTGCTCGCTACAAGTTATAATATAGTTATTGTATGGTTCCTGTATAGTACATTGCCGGCTCCAGCCCTTGAGATAAGGGGGGAGGGGTGGTCATACAGACCCTTAGAAAAGGGGAGGGGCCCAGTCTCCAAAAAGATTTTTTTTCGGCCCTTCGGGCCTCAGTCTGGCCTAAAAATAAGGTGCCCCCCCCCCCCCCGGGGCCGCTCCCCTGGACCCGCCACTGTCGTATAAAAATCAAAGGCTAAACTTGGAAACGATCACCCGTATGCCATTATAGCAGTCCTCAGTAACCCATCAACCCGGGGCGCAAGCGTACATTCCCGGGGAGGTGGAAAGTACTCACTATAAATGGCCTTTACGGGGAGGCTCCGCCCGAAAGGGTAGACTTTTTCAGGCTTCAGGTATATGAAAGGGTAGGATTTTACTAGATGAAGTATATGAAAGACTAGGGAAATCTATCATTTCGGTCAGTAAATGGCCCAACATGGCTAAGCTGATGGCATTTAATGGCTGTGAAAGAAAGTCGATAAAACGTTAGAGTTTTGTGATTTATCAGGAGGTCATGGGCTCCTGCATTTATTCATATTTTAAAGTCAGCGCATTTATGGCTGTTAAAAGGGAAGAAAAATTCTAAATTAGAGATGTGAAGGGGGTCCTTTCCTGTCAAAAATGGTATATAAAATATGGGGATATCAAGCACATTTAGCAAAGACAACGTAACGTCAGATGAGCAAACGAAATCGGACGATAATTAAGGACTGATTTAAAACGACTTTAAGATCTCGGCGCGCAAGCCGTCGTCACTGACCTCAAGTTGTCATTGCTAAATCTGCTAATCTTTTCCCATGGAATACAGACATCTACACAATTCCAACCGATGGCAAGAGAACATAAAAGAGTTAAACTATCTGCAACTGAAAACCGTGGGCGAAGATCCTGCTGGTTATAAACGTTTGATCTCTAGAAAAGAGATCCAATCAGCCAAATATTAAGAACCAAAAACGAGAAGTCCTAAGACTACTACAAAGCTGATCAGGTTTTTTCATAACAATTTTTCGGCTGGCCATACCAGCCTTCTTCAGCTTTACAGATGGCTGGTATGGCCAGCAGAAATATTGTTACAGAACACAATACACTTTGTTCTAATCAGCTTTGAGGTATTCTTAGAACTTCTCATGTTTGGAACGTAAAAGAGGGTGGTTAATCTCGTAGAAGAGCACTTCACCTATCCTAGATATGGCTTGTGCCACTTTCTGTTGTAATTGTCCTTATACGCCCGCAACGTGGGTCCTGCAGCTGTTCCCCGACCGCTAATATATAATTCCAGGCAGATAACGTTATTAAGACGCTTTTGAGCGATGCACGTCTACCGAAAGTAGACACTTTGGATTCTTGTTTCAATGGTTTTGCCAAAATGTTTGGGCAAATCGTCTCTATAAGCTTAAAGACACTTACGAATACCAACTTGCTAGCTATAGGCCTCACTCGGCTCCCGGTTGGCGTACGTCTTTAAAAAATGTCTTTGCTTAACTAAACCCCCTTAACTTAGACCTCCTCCTGTCCACGGATAGGAAACTTATTTTTCACAAACCATTGACAACCGCATCATAGGCTCGATTTCAGCGCTCATTAGTGGGAGCTCATTAATTCCCTAACCGCGGGGACAGCGGGGGGTAATTGAGCCCACCGAGATCAAGGTCCTGGGACCTGCCGGTCCCGGTCACATGAAAGGGTGTGGGTAGCGGCGCATTGAGCGTGAAATCTTAGCCATGACCACAAAATGATAATGATGATGACTGTGACGGCAATGACGATGATGATGCTTCTGCCGCTGATGATTATGATGACGATGATAATGATGATGATGATGACGATGACGATGACGATGATGATAATGATGATGACGATGATGATACAGGAACTCTTTCTGTGATAACGATTTTCTTTAATTGAAGCTCCTCGGCACGCTAGGTCCGTACTTAAATAATCAGTTATACCAGGAGCCCATAACCCGGAGCGTTCAACTGCCATAAATTCGTGCAACGGCGTTTTTACCGAGTAAGTTTATTTTTAGATAAGCTTTTCACGCGAAAAATAACTGTTCCACGAGGTCAATTCCTGCATTTGATCGTCGTTTAGACTGTTAGTAGCTCGCTTGGACCTTTTCACAGTCGGTTATTTCGAAGATGATTTCGATTTAATTCCCTTTGCGTGAATTATGCGTTGTCTTCGATGAAGTAGACGTCCTGGCTAGGTTTTGCAAATCTTCTTCTGAACTGTTAGTTTCCGTGTAAATACTGAAATTGTCGTTTGAAGCACTGTCAGAAGACTCCTCCGAAGATTCCTCACGTGTGTCCGCTGTGTTTTTTCAGTGTGAAGGAGTTGTCCTAGTTACGTATTAAAAGTTTATCATTGATGACGCAATTGCCAGTGATTGGCTTTTCGAAAGCAATTCGCGGGAAAAGCTTATCTAAAAATAAACCTACTTGTGAAAACGCCGTTGCATAGGCGCAGTATGGAAATTAGACGCTCCGGGTTATGGGCTCCTGGTTATACTCTATTCGCTGTACACTTCGCTACGGATGGAGGGTTCTCTGGAGCGAAAGATAAAACCAAATTAGCCTGAATGAAATTATCCTGACCCGGTCTTTTTTTAATTATAAGAGATTGAACTTCCGGCTCCTGAACTAGTGTAAAGGTTTCCTGGCAATCTTTCTCATAACCTGATCAAAGGCTGGGCGAGGGGAAAGCTAGTATGCATCGGCTTCAATTCCTTCTTTTATATAAGTCAAATTAAAGTTAGTTTAGTTTTTTTTTTCAGAAGGGACAAGCGCTGACAAGTTCGTTCATGCATTTGGCTATCAAGCTCTTTCCAAAAGGGAAAGGTTTTAACTTTCCCTGATTTCCTTTTTCCTCGCTAATCACCCAAGATAGTGACGGGACAGGCCCAACCGGAACATGCATCCAAATTCAAGCTGGGTGGAGGGTTGTGGAAGCAAGGATGAGCAAGAAAAAAGCGTTTTTCACATGCGTTGTGCGAAAGATAGAACGAAATTCATAAAAAATATTTTCATCCACGTTCTCCTGCTCCGTTTGCTATACTATTTATTTCGCGATTAAAAAAACGTAACTTGGGCAAATAAGACATCATTTTTCGAAAAGTCCAAAGTGCAGATTTGACTTAAGTACCAACTTCCGGGGGGGAGGGGGTAGCCTCAATGCAGGTGAAAAGTTCTAGTCTTCTTCGCAGAAAAGCGTTACCTGACGACTCAAATAACGGCAGCGCAGATGACCAAAGCCCCCTAGCAGTTCTTTGGAGCTCCTAGATTGGATTTTGTAGCTTGACTTGTCACAGTGTGGGTTTGAATGCATTTTCTTTGCGTTCTTAGAAATTCATATCTGAAAGGAGCGCCAAAGGAGGACAAGCAACAGGTTACACACTATGTATACCTTCTACTGATAATTGGTACCTCTTTCACGTACATGCCTAGATTAAAACTTTTCATCCCTTTTACCTGCTGCATAATAAGTATAAATCACAAAACCAGAACGTTATCTTGACTTTTTCCATGCCACACAATTCATCTGTAAAAGTTTTTGGACCTTTTTACTGACCAAACTGACACATTTTCCTACCTATATGCCTGAAGCCTACAAAAGGTACCCCTTTCGGGCGAAGCTTCTCCGTGTAGGCCATTGGAGGGAGTACCCCTAGGGGTACATCTCCCTGTGGAGTATAGTAGCAAAGAAGGTCTCAGACTACTCTAGTTTTTTATTGGCAGGGTGCACTAGAGACTCTGGGTCACTCAGCCTTCTTTTGTTTTGTTAACTAATTAAATAAGTTAACTCGTTATGAGAGCTTCATAGCTTCACCTCCCAATGCGATGAACAGTTCATACCCGTGGGGAGAGGGGGTACTCTTTATAAAAGGGGTACCTCATTCTTCAGGTCTCTAGGTTGGGAAATCTGTCCCGGTTCTGTCTGTAAAAAGGCGCAAAAAGGTTAACAGATGTATTTTATGGCTGTAAAATAGCCGAGAAAACGTTACGGTTCCTGCCTGAATCTGGATTACTTACTGTGAAAACCATAGCCTGAATTTAAATACAGTCAAACTAGTCCTGCCTTACGGACATCCGCTTAATATGGACACGTAATTATTACGGACAGTTTGCTTTGTCCCTGGGGAAAGAAAGCCCGTACATTTTCTCTAAATTCAACCCGCCTAATTCGGACACTTCTGCGGCCTACTCAGTGTCCGTATTAGGCTGATTGTTCTGATTGGCTACCGAGCGGCAAGAAGGGCACATTGTTGCCGACTACTTATGGTTTCCGAAAAGCTTGCTTTTGGGCATATAATATATTTTTGTTGACCAAGCTTGTTCGGTCAAGATGGCTGGGTTTTAGTTGACCTCGAACTTTTTTAAGCGTTATTATTGACTTCGACTTTGTCTCAGTCCACAAAAATGTAAACAAAAAAAACTTAGCCAATATCCACCGAGCTTGATCATCAATAACGCATCTGCGAGCAAACTCCGAGGGGAGGGGGGGGGACGAAAACCTCCTTTCGTTCCCCTCCTACACCCAATCCTAGAGCTTGTTCGCAGGCAAGTGAGTCAGGAAGGTTCATTCCCGTGGCTTTTTTCGACTTTTATTGTACTAAACAAATATACATTGTATGTTTACACGTTACCGTTCTCAGTTAAAGAAAATGTACAACATATTGTTAAATAGTTTTAGTTTTTCTTCTGTGGTGACTATCCTCAAAAAAGAAAAAACGACAGGAACCTCTTTAGAACAAAATAAAATAACGATATAACTATTTTCCCCATGTATTTCTTGACGTTAACAATTACTTTTTAAAATATACACATAATTCAAAGTTTGTCAGGACAAAAACGTCCTCCTAATCTGTGCTGGGTTTGCATTTTCCGTTACTCACAAGAACATAATTTATACAAAACTAAGCGCCACAAAGTGACAAATGTTACAACAGAATTTCAAAGTTAACAATTTGTTATCTCAAACTTCTTCTGTGGTACTTCTATTACCCTGGACAAGCTGAACATCTTTAATTGTGATTTTTAATGTTTGGACGAAATACTGATACGAGATAACTTAGATGAAAGTTACTGGTGAGCAGTATATTCCTGTGATGCTGTTTAATTGTGTTATTGTACAAGATGGTTCTAACTTTTGAGTCTGTGGATGAAATCCTAAAGTGTGACCATTTAAATAAAAGCTACTGAGCAGTACTTTCCTGTGGTACTGTTTATTTTGCTGTACAAGATGGTTCTAACGTTTGAGTCTGTGGATAAAATCCTATTGTGTGACCATTTAAATGAAAGCTACTGAGCAGTACTTTCCTGTGGTACTGTTTATTATGCTGTACAAGCTGGCTCTAACTTTTAAGTCTGTGGATGAAATCCTGAAGTGTTACCATTTAAATGGAAGCTTCTGAGCAGTACTTTCCTGTGATACTGTTTCTAAAGCTTTACAAACTAGTTCTCGCATTAGGATCACTAAAATACCATGCATTCTTATGAAAAAAAAAAAGCAGAATTTTTCATTTCAATATTATGATTTGTCAATGGCTTAAAATGTCTTGACTTTATGTTATTAAATTATTTATAGTTTAATTCAAATGAAAGCTAGAACTGTATAAAAAGCAGCTCTTTCAAGTGTATGGAGCTGATTTGGAAAACTTATACTTCAACAAGGGCATGGTCTTGACAAGCTTTCAAGCATGATGACCACAGAATCAAATGCATCTGATTTGTTTTTCGAGTCTCTTTGAAAAGTCTGTACAATGGGACTCTAATTTATAATATTATTCTTCCCAGCTCAACTTTGAAAACTTGTTGAAGCCTCCAATTCAGGTGATACTGGTTCTTGAACCACTAGCTTGGATGTCTCATCAAATGCCAGGTTTACCTAAGGAACACAAAATTTAAGTATGCATTTCTTAGCTACATGTACAATCGGCAACAAAATTGTTGAGATACTGTTGTCAAATGGTGTACACTTCAGAAAACAAGACATTCTGGACCAAACATGTACAATACACCTGGCAGGAGTTCATACCATGCACAGATAAATAGAGTAAGACTGTGACCAGAACTATAAATGGGGAACTAGGCCCTTGGTCAGTGTTATATTGACGAGAAGGAAGATACTGACATGGGCCAGAGGGGTAGAAAATGTTGGCAAACAGACTTTATCAGAACTGATGGAGAGGTTTGTCCTGCAGGTAGCCTGAACAGTGCTACAATATAATATTATTTAGGGTTGGTTGGTTGGGGAAGAAAGGCTAGCTCTTGTACTGAATTGAAGAGGATACAGTCTGCAAAATGCAGAGTTCCTCATTTCTCTCTTCCTCCTATTCTACCATTGTTTTGGGTGGCAATTTTCATGTATTATGCAGTTCACTTCCTCTACAACCCCTCAGGAAAATGAGAAACTATTAGGTGGACCCGGCAAAAACTTATCCAGCTAATCAGCTGCAGTGGAACCCCGTTAATACGGTCACCAAAGGGCCAAAAAAATTTGGCAGTATCAACGAGGGTTTTTTACAAGAAAATGTATGGCGGTTTTGGCCAGGCGGCCAAAAAAAGTGGCCATAATAACAAGGTGACTGTATTACTGAGGTGGCCGTAAGGCGGGGTTTCACTGTATTAATTGTAAACTATTTAAACTAGTTTTAAGATGACCTTACCTCGTGTGAATCTTCATATAGATTCTTATCTGAACGATCACTGTTAATACAAACAAACTGGGCATTAATGACGCTCTCTACATCGCCAATATTCCTCTCTTCCATGTCATCAGCTTCACTGTTTGGGTAGGAGTACTGATGAAACAGTTCTCTTTCAAGCCGCCGTTTTCTTCTTACTTTCTGCACTTGACGAATCTATAAGTCAAAATACAATGAAAAATCAATTCAGCGTGCAAAGAAAGTAGTGTCCGATAGCCAGCAGGGTTGGATTTTAAGTTGCCGGGTAGGCGGGAATCAAATGTGAATTTGTTTTGGTTCTATTTTTTACTATTTTCCAATAAAAGTAGCCGGGGCCACTCTCTTAGTAGCCGACAACCCTAGGCAAGTGATGTTTTTTGAGGGATTTGAATAACAGAAGAACTGTGAAATCAATTCTGCTGGTCAAAAAGTTTTTGGGGCTAGTTGAAATGACATCTGGGCTAGTAAATGCTAGCTTCAGCTTGCCCGAATGGCAAGCTGGAAAAATGATTTTCTTTGTACCCTGCAATTATATCATTAACAGGGTTCTATAGGAGACGCAGTAAATGGTGGAAATTGCCATAGCAAAATGCATCAGCATCCTTTGTAAGCGCTTAAATAGTCATGGGAATTTGCAGTAACTAAGAGTTTTCAAAGCCAACCCCCAAAACTGAAACCTAAAACTCTATTTGTATAGGTAATAGCGTGATTTGTAGTGATATTTGGCATAAATACCAAGAGTGATACTTCAAACTTGTTAAACATAAAAAAAATTTATCTTATTTAATAAAAAGTAAATGACTGGTTAAATTGTACTCACCACACAATATGAAATTAAAACAACCAACAAACATCCTATTGGTATGATAACATATTCAAGTATTTTTTTGTTAAAATGATGCTTCACAGCATTTTGTGATGGTGAAACAGTAGTATGGTTCTGAACATGTGTGGACAAAGTCAATAAGCTTGGTGTAGTTGATGCTATATCGCTTACAGATGAGTTTGACACATTGCTTGATGAAGAAGCACCATGATCTAAATTGTTCTCCAGGATATGTGTCCTAGATGGCTTAGTTGTTAAGACTGTGGGCACAGCAGTGTTGATAGATGTCAAGTTTGTTGTACTTGTGTTTAGGTTGTTGCTTGTAATATTGAGTAGTCTTGATTCATTATGGTTCACTATAATGGGTGGAATTTGGACATTGTTTCCACTCTTTGATGATAAGGGTATGCTGAGTCCTGAAAGAAAGTTAGTGATAAAAAAATCACTTCAAACCAAGGTTTGATGGAAGTTTTTCTGTGGTTTTTGCCAAGAACATTGTCCTAAAATTAATAACTGAAACAGTATGCTGTAAATTAAATAACCATGAAGGTCTGCATGAGTGTCATGCATGACATCTGGACACAGGCTCTGACAAGCCCAGGTGCAGAGGTCTCTTCTAAAAACAACTAGAAATAAAATAAATGCAAGTACATCCACAATAAAAAAATTAAAAAATTAAAAATTGGATCTCTGATTGTCCATCAAGCAATCTTGTTTCCATGCAGGTAACCCCTCCAAAAAATGAATGTTTAAGGTCACTGACTGGATACTTAAGACACCACAGAGAGTATAAAATAATGATACATGTGACCATGAAGAAGCTAAAGTGAAGGAAGAACAGAACATGTTGAATTTGCTGCTGTAATATATTAGCTTGCAAGAGCATCCATTCGGCGGGTGAAACTAGAAACTTGAGCCAAAAAACCGCACGCTCTCGCAGGCTAGTAATATATCAGCAAGCAAAGAAACACATGTCCGATAACCAGGGGCTAGTGGATTTTGCCATCAGATGGGTGAGTTCTGTTCTTACTAATGGAGTTTTTGGGGAATTCAAATTACAGAGGAACTGTTATCAATCCTGGTCATAAAAACTTTCTTTAGGCAAGCTACATTTAAAATGACTCTAGGGCTAGTACATGCTATTTATAGCTTGCCTAAATGGAAAGCTTTAAAACCGACTTTCTTTACACCCTGTGTATGTACAGAATATGGAAATGAAGCTCAATGAGAGGTTATCTAACCAAATTTAATTCTTAACTACAAATTGTCTGAAAACATCTGCTGAAATTTGAAAATCAACGGTGATTTTAAGCTCTCTACTATTCATACCAGGTCAAAATTAGATAAACTAAAAACAAAGCAATGAGCCTTTTTAATCACAGTCCTTACCCAGCACCTACCTGCTTTCAAATCAGCGATCACGAACAGAAGCGAAATTATAAATTTCACAGTAAGAACAGGTTCATACATTTCACACAGCATGTAGCTATCAACGTTCCGTCAACATTGCTTCGGTGGCTCAAAATCGGCGATTGTCACTCATAAGAAACAACACAGCATGATAAAGTCATATGTAACCTATTTCTACAAGTGAGATTTGCTAATTTTTGTGATATTTTCCTGGTAAAAACGAGAGTGAAATTTGCAAGTGCGTTAAACTGCGTTGTTAATTGCCCTCTTGAGTTATTCGACCCAGCTTCCCACGGACGGGATTGGTAGAAAACCTGGGAACGAATATTAATCAAAAATGGCGGCGTACCGCGTACCGGTATCTTCAACTTGCGCTTCGACTTTTTGAGATTTTAAATCCTCTCATTTAGCTATTGGCGCATATTATTAATGACATTAAGAAGGGGAATCTTTAGTCGCCAGAGTATATTTGCGATTGTAAATCACGCCAGGTTTATACCTAAACTTCAAAGACACTTTCAAAATGCTGAAGTTTTACGCGATGCTGACTCTCCTGACTCTCAAAATCTCAGATACATCACGAGGACGTGGATAAAACGCTTAAAAGAAGCTAATGTACCAGAGGTAGAACATTCAGTAAAAATCATCACAGAACATATCGTTGGCAAAGAGAGGTTGCTGGTTGGTATGCCTTGGCCCTTGAGATTTCTTCAGACCAGTTTATCGTTAACCAGTTTTTGACGGATGATTTGTGCAAGGCAATGTGATTGTCAAGGTCATCATTATCATTTTCATTGTCCTTTTCATTATCATTGTCATCCTTGTTATTCCAGTAGTTGTCGTTATCATCATCATCATCATCATCACCACCACCACCACCACCACCATCATCATCATCATCATCGTCATCATCACCATCACCACCACCACCACCACCACCACCACCACCACCATCATCATCATCATCATCACCATCACCATCACCATCACCATCACCATCACCATCACCATCACCATCACCATCATCATCATCATCATCATCAATATTGCCATCATTGTCATCATCATCACCATTACTTTCCAGTTCTTTAATCATATATGAGGAAAAATAAGACATGTCCTACACAAGACATTTTAAAACTAGGACAAGAACTTACAATGTATGAGAATATAAGGTGCAGACTATACTAGCCAAGCAGCATCCTATTTAAGATGCCAAAGTATTTTTTTATGATTTACACAAGAAGTTTGCGACTTATTTAAGATGTGTCTCGTGTAAGACAGGCCTTACTTTTCTTGGCATAAAAGATTTTTGTATTTCACAGGAAAGAGTAATAATAATAATAATAATAATAATAATAATAATAATAATAATAATAATAATAATAATAATAATAATAATTATGCATAGTAATAATAAATAACATTATTATATCCCATGCTAACCCCTTCCTATACCCATTAACCTAGAGAGAGTTATCCCTCCTTTTAACAAGTGGGGTCTTGTTTAAAGTTGTAGAGAAAGGGTTTTAGTCATTTAAGTCATTTTTTGGTTGATTACATATTATAAGTGTTGTTGATGTTTATTTAGGCCTTTGATCTCAAACAAAGTCATCAGGGCTTAACAAAGGAAGAGGCGAGGAAGCTGAATCAATCATGCCAGCAAAGATTACAAAGGTGCTGAATAAATAGGCCCTGTTAGAGTAAAATTCTGACAAGTGTCATTGCCTTGAAATGGGGACATAAGACTACAATCTTGGACAAAATGAATGGAAAACCTAGACTCCCCTCCCCCCAAAATTAAAGATGGGAAAATACTATGTTGTTGCCCCTGGCGCGACTTCATCCTTGATTCGGGGGATGGGGGGTTTACTGTTCCATTTTATTCTGTCCAAGAGTGCAGTCTTGGACAAAATAAATGGAAAACCTATATCCCCTCTCCCCCAAAAATCAAAGATGGGAAAATGGCAAGTTTTTTCCTTTTGTGCAGCTTCATTCTTGATTCGGGGGTGGGTGGGGGAAGGGGGAGCAGTGATGGGGGTTTGCTGTTTCATTTTATTCTGTCCAAGATTGAAGATAAATGATGACAGACAACATAAAGGTGGATTAAACACCAACGGGAACATGGCCTACTCCTCAAAATCTGAAATGCCTGTATTTGAAATTTAGACTAACGACATATGCCCCCCACCCTAAAAAGGCCTCAATAAAAACAATAAAGAACACTGGAATGGTCTGAGTGAGACTTCAATGAAAAAAAAGAAATAGCACACATCAAAATTTTTCTTAAAAGTTTATTTCTTTAAATCATAAGCTTTCATCCACAGCCTCAAAAGTTGTACATCTCTCCATTACTTGGTAGAGCATTGAAATGGCCAGTAATATTTTTTTTTCTGGTCTCACCACAAACATAATATTCAATCCATGATTTTTCTTTTATTATACTGTTGTTAGATATCAGATACTGACATTCAAGGAAAAGCGGCTCCCATATAATTGATACTATTTTTCTTTTATATCCAACTTTCAGAGTCCCTGTGCAATACATTATTGGTGAGTGGGATTTCCGATATTTAACTTTGGCAATGAAACAACCTGTGTTCATTCCAAGGCCTGAAACAGAGGTAAGCTATAAAGAATTGCTAAGGCCCTTTCTTCAACTTTCCCTTCAATATTCTTATTTTTGTTCAATATTTCTGTTCTTACCTTTCAAGATTAATTTTTTAAGTAGAATTTTTTTTATCTTGAATTTAGGAACTAATAGATCTGATAGCCAGACATCACGGCCTTGCTGACAACAAAGACAAGGAATTTCTTTTTCTGGAAGTCGGCTGTGGTAGTGGTGCTATCTGCCTGTCAATACTTTCAGAATTTCCTCAGGTAATTGATTTTCATCAAGTATAATATTAATTCTATTAATTTTATTATTTATTAAAAAATGCACATGAACAAGGAAAAATCACTCATGTTTCACCATAGGACTGGTCATGTGGGCTAGTTTTTTTCAAGGGGAATGGGAGGGTGGGGAATCCTAGCCGCCCATTCAGCTACCTTCCCTCTTCTCCTAAATCCTCTGATGATAATCATTTGTTCTACTATTGTCTAGACAAGGTGTGTAGCTATTGATAAAAGTGAAGAAGCTATCAGTCTTGCAAAACACAATGCAGACAGGTTAGTGATGACAGTTTATTGTTACCATATTTAACCAATAGTTTTGTCAAAGTCAAAAAAGACAAAATACAAAAATATAAAAAAACATTCAAGCTTTAATTTGCCATACATGAGAAAGCAAAGGGAAACTATGGAAACATACTGCCTAAGAGATCTCATTTGTGTGATGAAAGTATGTGATTTTCGTGGTTAAAACATCAACCTATAAACTGGTTAAAAGACTTGGGTTAGTTGGGAATCAAACCCTGACCATTGCGATGTCTGGACATATAAGGCTCTCTAACCAGTGGGTGCGATTCCTGGTCAAGCCTTATTGTTTTTTAAGTTTTTTTTTTTTACTGCATAACTTGGTAATTTAACCGTCAATATCCGAGATTGAGTATCTTTCATTTAACGATTTCATTGACATTTAAATGTTTCAGATGCAATGTTTCTGATAGGATTTCACTTTACCATGCTGATGTGGGTAAGTATAAAGGACCTGTTTACATGGAGGTAGGAGACCCTAGGTAGGTGAGGTAGCCCGCTTAGGTGGGGTAACCCGCCTGTCCATATAATCTCTTGTTTTGATTTGATCACGTTTACATGATGTGTGATGACCATGTGAGAGATTATATAGACAGGTGGGTTACCTCACCTACCTGGGGTCCCCACCTCCATGTAAACAGGCCTAACTCAGCAGTTCCATGTTTCGTGGAATGTGTAGCTGAAAGTTTGTGAAAACTGCCCCCAGTTTGTTGCACATTTCGCATTTAAAATAACGCCCGGAATAGAGGTCATTTTGTACCTAAAATCTTGACTCCACTCGTGGCTTAAATTATCCCCTTAAATTGAGCTCAGTCGGTAGAGCGCCTGACTGTAGAGCGGGATTCCTGGGACTGGATCAATACTCAGGGTCTTAAAATAACTGAGAAATGAAGGTACTCCTTTGCCCTGTAAGCAGCTAGACCTTCGCGTGGCTTGAAGGACCACTTAAAATGGCAGTCTTGTCTCCAGTAGGAGTAAAAATAGTCTTCTCAAGTCTGTAGTATATTACTTCTAAATACATTGACACTCAAATTAAGTCAATTTATTTCTCTACGTAACCCTTTTAATGCTGATTGCCAAAATTTTTTACTTCAGGGTCTGTGTTGTCGATAATTGGCGCCAGAAAGTTTGATGCTGTGATAAGCAATCCGCCCTACATTCCTGCACCTGACATGGCCTCGTTACAGCCTGAAGTTTCCAGGTAAGAAAAGTTTTCTCGATAAAAGGAGTACGCGATGACCTTCCGTTAGTTGACCGCAACAATTTAAGACTATCGTGAAAATAAAACTATGGAGCAAATGGAGACGCGGTTAGCGTTAATAAACCTATGGCAGTGCGAGGCAAATAAGCATTCGAAATCACCGTTCTTATGTGTGAATAGTAGTCTGCTACACAGCCGTTTTTAGTGTCGTCACGCAATGCTCCTCCCCAAGTGGGGAGGAGCATTGCGTGACGACACTAAAAACGGCTGTGTAGCAGACTAGTGTGAGCAGAAGCCTTATCCGGTATGGTTTTCGCGCCTGCGCAAAAGCAATCCGGTATGGTGTGTACTTAGCCTAAGAGAGGGAAGCCTTTTGGATCCTTATACGTTTCTGGGAAACTGCCCACCTACCCCTTCCCTAAGCCAATATTAACACTTACCTCTCACTTAGGGCAAAATTTTGGCTGAGGGGAGGGGTAAATCAGGAAGAAAAGGGTCGCGTGTCAAGGGCAGGAAAATATACTGGGAAAACGCAACCTCGTTTGCAAGGAGTCTCTTTTTGCAGTTTCTCCGACTTAGACGCGAAAATGGCGCCCAACATTTATTTCAGTTTTTATTGGTCAGTAAAATACAATCCGGATATTTTTTAAAAACGGACTTGATTTCTTTCTCCGTTTTCGCCTTTCGTCCACAAGAAAATGACGTTTTTCGGTCATCAAAAATGCAAGTTTTCGAAACCGGTTCCCAAAGTGTGTTATTTTTTTAAACGCCCGCTTATCGTTTTTGTATAGACGGACGAAAACGGAGGTTTTCGAATAAGGTGATGTCATTCGCCCTGTAAAAGATACTATCTCTTCTCCATTGTATTAGCGTTTTCGTGTGGACGGGGGAAAATGATTCGAATACGCTACGTGTACGCGTATTTGTTTGAAGGAAAACGGAGGGGAAAAAATCTTCGTTTTCAAAACTATCCGGAGACGTGTGAACTTTCGATCCAGCTGCATACCGTTACAGATCATAATGGCAATGGGGCTTATCAGAACAGTTAGTAGTTTAATTGATTTTGTTTCACATGGTTTGCTTTCCCTGTTAGGTATGAAGATATGGGAGCGTTACATGGTGGCCTTGATGGATTAGATGTAGTAAAGAGAATTTTACGCATTTCTCCTGGACTCCTAAAGCCAGATGGGTACGATATGAAAATAATGATAGCATTCTGACTTCGCAAACACGGGACATTTTGATAGGAATAGTCTATTGATGGTAAATCAGTAAGTTTGGCTTGCTTTTGAGAGGCCACTTTCTCGAAGGAGCGCAGGCTCTTTTTCCTAAGAGCGGCTGGTAAATAAGCCTATCCGTCAGTCATCTGATGCGGGTGTGTCTTTATAATTACACGCGCAGAACTGTATTGTGTATTCCTGCAAAATACTAATAGGTTATAACCTCTTAGATGTGGGAAAGAAATATGAGGAAACGTGTTCTCCGTCTTATGCGATGACTGACAAGAAACGCCCGGGAAAGCTAGAAGTGCAATACCAGAAAATTGGACTGATTTTTATATTATTCATTTATTTATTCATTTGTTTATTCATTTCTTTTCAGTTCCGTTTGGTTAGAGGTGGACATTTCGCATCCCCAGCAAATAAATCAATGGATCAGTAGCCGGGATCTTGGTTTAAAATACTCCGCGACCTTTAACGACTTTACAGAAAGGTAAGCGGACATAAAATTCAACCAGAACATTGTGGAACGGACTTCATGAGTACAAGATCAAAGATGGTAATTCCCGTAAAGCCCCCTCTGTACACTGTGCGATTGAACAAAAACCGAAAACTCGTTCCCAGGCTCCTCTGCTACTTGTAGAGGACCCTGGGAATCTGTTTTCGCACGCGACAAAAAGCCGCCTTCACAACCAAGGCTATTTTTCCCGCATTTAGAAAATAGAGACCTTTACCTTCGAGGACGAGATTTAACTTAATTTTTTTTATTCCCGCGTATTCTCTCAGAAAATATTCACCCCAGCGAAATCGTCATTGTTCTTTTTTTTTTCACCATAAAAATTAGCACGCTTATTTTTATCAAAGGAGGTCGCAAAATGATAAAACTTCTAACATTGCATAACTTGTTTCCGTCACTATGACATTCTCTCTAAAACTCGTACTGGAATGAAGACGGATGACGATGGATGACGACGGCTATCACGTTTTCCCGCCAAAATGATGCTTGTTCTCGCGTGTGCACTGTTTAGTCTTGAGAAAATCTCATTCTCGTACTGTGTGCTGGTCTTAGAATCTGAAGGTCTCTATCACCCACCGCTAATATTAGAAGCCACCCCAAATCTTTACCATGGGTACGTCGTAGGTTCTACAGTTGGTTTGAGATAGACAAAAAAAGTGATCATATCCTCGTTAGTTGTCTTGCCCGGTCAGGCTTCCAGGGATAATTTCCTGTCGGTTGGGTTTGTTCAACACAGAGATGACCTAGTTCAGCCTTATTTTAAGATGCATTGTACCAATGAAATAAGGTTTTTGTCGTAGAAATTGGTTGCATTGTGAGCGATAGGTAAGATTAGCTGTTTCGTCAAGGGACGAAGAGCTCAAATCTTTTTCCGAATTGGTTTTATATGCACATTTCACAAAAGACAATATTTTTGGTTAAAGTTCGGCTCTTAATTGACACAATGAAAATCCAAAATTACGGATCGAAGATGGTGGCCCTTTGAAAAAAGTGAAAAATCTCTCTCAGGACGGATTTCTGGCATACATTAACTGCTGCATCATTTCTCAGGGGTCCCATGACAAAAGCGGAAAGGCTGATGAGTAGATGAGTATTACGGTTAGCCCCCCCCTGTATATATAGTGACATATAAATCCGGCTGAAAGAAAGACTTGGTATCCTGTCAACATAAAAAACCCAGCTGAAAGAAATTTAACAATTAGTCCTGAGTCCGAACGACTCAGAGGCCATGAGGGCGAGTAAAAGTAAAAGTCAACTAGCTGGTCAAAAATATCGAACCTTTTTGATTTGGGCTATAACATATAGCCTGTGTGGCTCCCAATCAGGCAGCACTGATAATACAAAAACACAAATATCGATGCTGGTTTCTGGTCCAGGAAGTTAAAATGAGTATAAAGATGATATCATTTGGAAATTTAATTTAACCGTCATTAAAAATTTATTTATTAGTTTTGAAACGGAAGGAAGCTTTTGTTACCGTGAGAAGATAATCGTCGCGTCCTGTTATTTCAATTCTTCCTGTTTTCTTTTTTAATGAGCAGTTTCTAGGTATTCATTATGCAAAAAATGTCACTAGAAGAACGCGTTAAGACTGGTCTGTATTTGTTTTACACTGAAGCACTATTAACGAGAAATGGAAATAACTGAACTTTTGTACTGAAGGAGCAAGCTCAGCGTATAAATTAATGGTTTCTTTTAAGGGAGCTCTGCAATGATAAATTGTTCCAGTCTCTATTCTCTAATGTAAATCTTAAAATTAACGAAAACCTCAAATATTGGTGTTTTAAAATATATATACACTCTTTTTTTTCTATAAGAATATATTTTATAAGAATATCGAGGCTGAAATTTGCGAAATCTTAAGAATACTTTAAGAATAAACTCCAGGCTGAGATTTTGAAAAGGATATAATTTCCTGTGGTGAAAATCTGTAAATACAATACAAATATACCTTTTCAATTTATTCCTTTCTTTAAACCGCAAAACTAGCTAACTATATTTAACAAAACTATAATTGATACCTTAATATATTCTAAAACGGAAATGTCATAAGCTATTATTAAGAATAGTACAAGAATATTTACAGCCTAAAATCGGCGGAAAAATAAGAATATTCAGCCTGGCCCGGGAAAACAATATTCTTATAAAAAAAAAAGAGTGTATTAAAAAACACTAAAAAGCAAAAATATTTTTTTATATACATTATAATAATCTATGGTGTATACGGTAGGCTAAGAGCCTTTTAGAAATACATTTCCATCAGCTGTACTGCACCTATAAGAAACCTTTCTCGCGTAATGACTCAGCACCCAGCGAAGATTCTGTTTTGTTACAGGCCTAGGTTTTGTCATCTCATCCGAAAATTATGAAAATTATGAGTGCGTGACATCTTGAATCAAGAGGAGTCGTCCAGGAACTACGAGAAGCTGTCGTTGAATGATAAAGTAACGACTTCTTAATGCGTGACATCAGAAGGCAGGCAAGTTCCAAGAGAACTTTAGTGGCATCATATGGAGGACAAGAATTGGAATCAGCTGTATTATACTTTGAAGACTGTATAATGCGTGACATTAAAGAAAGCCAGTTGACAGAGGCATACAGGGACACATCGCAGTTCCAGAATTGTTGGAATACGATTGATCAGTCAAGGAGAAGAAAATTTACAAATATTTCTCTGACAGTGTTAAAATGGATAGTCGCATATCGGGTATAGCGGCCATATGTTTCCGAGTTTTGCTATCAGAACATTGTCATGAAGAAAGTGCATGTTGGCCGAAAATATCGGAGGTAAAGTTCAGCTTTGTTGTACCCATTTGCAGATGATTTCTTGCAATGTTTAAAAAGGAGTAGGTCCATTTGTGTCAATAAAAAGTGTAAAATGATCCAGTTTGTGTGTGTTAGTGGTGCACTTGAGTTTTCTAATTTTCGTGAGTTCTGTCGCTACGAACAAATGCTTAAACGTTCCTCCTTGGGCTGGCCTTTACTGGAGAAGTCACTTAGTAATTTATCTTTGCATTACTGTTCTCTGTTATTGGCTGAAGAAATCTGTCCCAGTCAATTCCGCCGGAAAATAATATGAAAGTACAGTGGGACCTCTATTCAGGGAACACTCTCGGGACCAAGGCAAGTGTCCCTTGAACAGAGGTGTCCCTTGAACAGAGGTGTCCCCTGAATGCAGGTGTTCCTTTGAACAGAGGTGTCCCCTGAATGCAGGTATCCCCTGAATAGAGGTGTCCCCTGAATGCAGGTGTCCCCTGACTAGAGGAGTCCCCTGAATGCAGGTATCCCCTGAATAGAGGTGTCCCCTGAATGCAGGTGTCCCCTGACTAGAGGAGTCCCCTGAATGCAGGTGTCCCCTGACTAGAGGTGTTCTCTGAATGCAGGTGTCCCCTGATTAGAGGTGTCCCTTGAATGCAGGTGTCCCCTGGAATGTCCCTTGGAGGTTGGGCTTGGGTTTGTTAATTATTAACCACCAAAGACAATATAAAAAAATCATTACTAACTTATCTATGCAAAATCATATGTGTAGTAAATAGATTTAACTCAACCTCGTTTGAGATTTAAGTGAGATAGTTCAGTTTGTGAAAATTGCCATCATTGCCTCTTTGTGGTCAGTCATGTGTATGTGACAGTAAGTAGTTCCTGATGCTCAGTTAACTTCTTTGTATTTTAAGGGCTAAATACAGTGAAACCTCTATTAAGCGGACACCCTCTATTAAGCGGACACTAAGCCTGGTCCCGAAACGAACGTCTGATATTTCCCTTTATAACAAACCTCTATTCAGCGGACATCTCTATTAAGCGGACGCGGACACTAAAATAAGTTTTATTTGGCTAATTTCTATTGTTAAAAACCTCTATTAAGCGGACATCGGACTGAATTGACAATAGTAGTATTGGATTACGTCCTTGAAATACGTACTGAAGTCAGTTAATGTTTTTGCATTTATAAACAAATTAAAGTTAGTAATGAAAGGTAATGAATTTGAACTCTGGATAGCTTCTTTAACAACATGTAACTTTATCACAGTACAAAGTAACCGTTGAATGTTGATCGTTAGCAAACATTGCGCAATTTTTACAACCTCTATTAAGAGGACACTTGGGAAGGTCCCGAAGGTGTCGCTTAATAGAGGTTTCACTGTACTTTGTCATGTACAAGGAGTATGCATAACAACAGTAGCAAACGCTTTTATGCTTAGAGGTGTGACCGCGGTCGAACCTTAGCTAGGGTGCAAACGGACGCAACAACGCCCAACATTGCATTTTGCTAAACGTTTAACCGGTTTAAAGCTTTGCGCAACAACTACAACAACTCCCAAAAACATGCAACAACATGCAACAGGTGGGTGTGCAAACGGACGCAACATGTAACAATTTTTGGAGTTGTTAGCCGACAATGTTGCGTTCGTTTTCACGGCGCTTCAGGTCGAGCCTTACTGACCGTCACTTAGCAACCTACTGAGAGGAAACCCGAACTGGGAACGAGGTATTTTTAAGGGGGAGTAAAACTTGGCAACGAAAAGTCATATCAGATAATCCATGAGACTAGATAAACTATATTTGAAGTGGTAAACTGTAATCTTTAGTGTTATTCTTTATTGCCATAGATCATTAATCAGCTTGTCCTAGCGCGAAGTTTCTCTGTCTGTGAGTGAATCCCTGCTTTCCTATCGAGTGCATATCGGTGAGAACTGTCTAGTTTTAAATGGCTTTTAACAGCAGGCACTTAAACAACAGCCACACACTCACTTAGCGTGCAGATATTAGTCATATCATTTAAAGATAAACTGTTCGTGCTTGGCATGGCCTTAAGGAATCCCATGTATTTGAAGAAGTCTTACAATGGCTTAAGTTACGATGGATGGCGCAAGAAGCGCTCTTTGTCTGTTAAGCTGCGCATCGAATGCGGAAGATGAAACCAGTGAACGTTGGCCCTGGAGCTAACACGAATCTTTGCTGCTAACTTTATCCACTGGC